TCTGTGTGGTTGATCTAAAGGTTCCAACCCTACTGATGACTCATGTCGGTGTCTATATGCCACCAAATGATGAAATTCTTGTTTTTTCTTTTTAAAAAAAAAAAAACCTAGGAAATTAGATAATACAAACATTTTTAAGGTTACAAACTCAAGTTAGAAAATGCCAGAAAATTAATGTTGCCTGTGAAACTTTAATTCAGCCCCCTTGTGCATATGCATTGTGAAACAGTTTTTAACTATATGATCATATACCGTTTTATCCACAGAACCTCCATCTCATTCAGTGCATAGTACGAATGGTGCTTGCTTAACTATTTAGTATTTTGTTTTTTCCACACTGTTCTATTTGTGGCTCCATACCTTCTTTATCGCATATTATTCAAACCCTGCTCTAAAAACAAATTTATCAGATTCCTCATGGGCTTTTCTGTGATGCTCATCATTACAGTATCTGAGTGCTTCATGAACATTAATAAATTTATTTTTACAACAGCCCTTTGAAGTGAGGGGTTATTATTATCCCCTTTTTACAGATGAGGAACTGAGGCACAAAGAGATCAAGGTCAAAAGTATCCACTAAATTTGGGTGCCCAATCTGATTTTTTAGGATTATTTAGCACTATATATGTTCGAAGCACAGTTTCCATTTACTTCAACTGCAGCTGTCAACACTTCTGCAAATCAGACCCCAGGATCTCAAGTCAGGCACCCAGAAAATGAGAAACACACAATTAGTAACCATTTATACTGTAAAAAGTCTGGTTTAAGTGAGTTGCTTAGCATTACACAGAAACTCTGTAGCAAAGGAAGGGATAGAATCCAATTCTCCAGGGCAACATTCATCTGCTTTAACCATGAGACACCATTTTTCCTCTTCTTACAAACCTTTGCCTCATTTGTTACTCATGTTCCAAATTGTGCAACAAATGAAAATGGGATCCTACAAGACAAGAGTTTAACTTTCCTACTCAACCTTGATTTATCCCCAGAGCAGATTTATCCTGTGCACTGAATGAGGCACGGGGTCCTGTGGAAAAATAGTATGTGATCATGTAATTAAAGATTGTATCATAATGCATATGCACAAGGGTCTGAATTAAGGCTGTACAGCCAATCTTAACTCCGGCATTTCCTAACCTGTGAGTGCTTGACTTTGTAATCTTAATAATGTTCTGTTAGTAGAGGAGTTTGGGTGTGTGCTTGTCTCCCTGTACTTGCACACAAGCACATATAATATGTATGTGTATATAATGCATATGTATCACTTTTTTTACATGATGTATAGTAAACATTAGTACAGATACATTATAAACATTCAGATATAGTATGCATTATCTATATTTCTTTATTGTATTAGATTGTATTGTACTGTCCATCCTGTGATCAAACTGGAAAGAGATGTGCAGTTTTTTGAATGGTCTACCGTAAATCATCTACATTTCTTTTCTTTATGGTATTGGTATATCCCATGGTCAAACTGGAAACAGATCTGCAGGCTTTAGAACCATTCTAGCATAAATTAAGTTATATTTTGCTTTGGCACTAGCTCCCCCTCCAGACCAGCCTAACAATACTGTAACTACTTCTTATTTTAAACTCTGACTATACAAAAGATTTAAGTACTCAAATTCAACTATTTCCTTCAGAAGATATCACTGAATCCCTGAAATTATGCTGAAAAGAATGATCACAAAATTAATATCCAAAATCCATAACCAAGACTTTGAAATTCATTCCATCTAAAATACAACGGGTAAGCAGGGCACTCATTTATACAGCTACAATAGGTCTGAACAGATCAAAACTTTCCTTAATCAGATGGGTATTTCAGGAACGGTCTAAAATATTTATCATCAACACAATTCCATTATACATTCAAACTAATCTTTTTGTTTGCAAACTTAATACAGTGATCATAAACAATTAAAATTAGTTACAGAAACTAGTAAAACCCTATGGATCTTAGGTTTCAGAGTGGTAGCCGGGTTAGTCTGTATCAGCAAAACAAAGAGGAGTCCTTGTGGCACCTTAGAGACTAACAAATGTATTTGGGCATAAGCTTTCATGGGCTAGAACCCATTTCATCAGATGCAACTGATGCCCATGAAAGCTTATGCCCAAATACATTTGTTAGTCTCTAAGGTGCCACAAGGACTCCTCTTTGTTTTGCTGATACAGACTAACCCGGCTACCACTCTGAAACCTAAGATCCATAGGGTTTTACTAGTTTCTGTAACTAATTTTAATTGTT